TTTTCGACTTGGTGCACATTCGTTTTTTGTTCATTTGGTTCCTTTTTGTACTCTTTTATTTTTTAACCGAGTTAATTAAAAACATTAAAAAAAAATTAGTTTTAAGTTTGTTTGAATTGCTTTTTGTTGTTTAGAAAATAAATAGAAAAAATAATTAATCAAGCTAAGGGTATTATTGGGATTAACTAGGATTTAAAAACCATAACATGCAGTATTTAAGAGTGTAAGAAATTTGAGAGTGGGATCTACCAATTGCAGCCGCCACTTGCTAACAAACTTGATCCTCTCTCTATACTTTTCACCAATGAGAATAAAAATTCAAAAACAAGGCATTAGAAAGAGAAAAACGAAAGTTGCAAAATTGAAGAGGTTATCTGCTTTTTCACGGTGTAACACTCTCTTCTCCGATAACCACCATCCCAACACTCTTTTTCATGCTATCACTTCTGTTTTCATCATCTTCAACAATAACACCGAAGCAACATCAGCACTGTGAGCACTAAACATCAGCAATATCAGCTTGCCAGCAAAACCCCAACAACAACACAACAAAAAGTTTTGTATTGATGGTGGAATGATGTAAGGATTATTTGTGTTGTATTGTGATGTTAGATTTGTGATTGAATTAAGTGTTTCGAGTACTTTTCTATTCGACTGTGATGAGCGCATTTCGTGTTAACAACTTGCTTTTGATTTTTGGTTTACGTGCGAAATATCAATTTCGTTGTTGTCACGTTTAATTCAGATTTGTATATGTTATTCAGTAGTTTGGCATAACGTCAATTCGCGTTTGTTTTGCAACTTTGCTTTTTAGCACGAGACATTACAATTAATTATCGCTTCTTTTTTTAATGAGTTTACGTTTCATATTTCAATTTGGTTGTCATGATCACGTCCCACGCTAGCAATTCGTTGTTTGATGTGTGTTGGTGCGACATTTCGATTTCATTACGTGTAAATCAGATTTGAATTTTAAATAAATGGCTTTGTATTCACACTCTCGCATTACACGAACTCAATTCACGTCCTCGCAATACATGAGCTTAATACGCGTTCGTAAGTGACAATTCGTGTGCGACGCTATTCCATATGTTTACTTGACGTGTTTGTTTCTTATTTCGATTACAATGAATATGTCATATGTGTTAGTTGTGATTATTGAGTATGCACGTTGATTTTCTTCCTAGCGGTTATTACATGTTTGTGTACTGTTTTCCGATACTTCTCGTACCCTGTGTTACTTTCATTATTCTTGTGTTACATTTGATCAAGTTTACTTTCACAATTAAATAAAATTGCTTCATAAATCCATTTCAAACCAATATCAATAAACCACTTGATCAACGTCAAGTGCATTTTCAAAACCAAACTAAAACACTTTGCAAATAAAATCAATTGTCGATTCAAAGACCTTTTAAAATCACTTTCAAAGCAAATGTGACAAACACTTAGTCAACACCAAATTCTTTTGCCGCGAATCAAACACTTGATCAACATCAAGTCTTTTTAAATCAAATTGCTTCAATTCTTTTCTTAATAAAATTGAATGAAAAAGAAAGAGTTAGGCATATGGCCCCTCTCTTCCACGAGTATTTGGGTGCCTATTGTAAAACTTATTGCTTAGATACTCGTCTCCGCTCCAAAAACATAATAAACACAATCAAATGCTACAAGTCCTAAGTGGTGAAAAAGGAATAATTAGACGCATGTCCTTTTGTTTTGAGTACTAGGACGCATGTTGTATAGATTGTCGTTCAAATGCTCACCTTCATCCATTGAATTTAATTTTATTCTTATCAAACACTTTTCATAATAAAAAGGATGAAAAATGACTAGTTAGACATATGCCCCTCTTTTCCTGAGTATTTGGATACTTGTTGTATAACTTGCATTTTGAATACTCGTCTCCCGCCTAAAATCAATCTCAACCAATCAAGATTGTTTTTTGCCTTAGTGTGACTCCACAAACATTTTTCATAAAGAACATGTTTATACATTATATTGCAATACAAACAAATGCTTAATCCTCCCACGCGTGACCATACAAGTAATGTTTAACTGCTGGAATGTAATCTTAGCACCTTTCACTAAAAAAATCCAAAAGAGTTATTTTCTTGCTAAGAACTACGTAGTTTAAAGTTCCTCATCGCACAAGAGAATACGAGGAGTGAGATCCAACATCTCGTCAGACACAATAATAAAAAATCTAAAAACCCTTTCTTTCTTTTCATATAGTAATAATTAGAAGATCACAAATAGACATCACACTGACACTCTTTCTTTCCTTTTGGAATAAATAAAGTTTAGTGTCGACTCTTATATTTCGAACGTGCGATACACTTGAGTATTTTTTGCAGCGCGACACTGGGTTCCTTTGTTTTTCTAAGCGCGATGAATTGGAAGAATCAAAGAGCGAGAAAGTGGCTCGATACATCAGTGGCCTAAAAGGATCCTTGTAGGAGAAGATGGGTTGACAAAGTTTATGGACCATAGCTTAGGCATTCAGTCTAGCTCTGAAGGCAGAATTAAAAGAGAAATCCCCTCAAAATTTCTCATCTTTTAGATATTCCTCCCAAAATAACTTTGAACCAGCATGCGACAAGGAATGGAGTGCAACAACCAGGAATTTCAACCCTTAGAATAAGGGGACTAGCAATCTTAGCAGTGTGCAGCAGGGTAAAGCATCAACCCAGAGGTAGAATAACCCATATTCTAAACCAACTAGAGACACATGTTATCGTTGTAATGGAAGAAGTTACAGATCAAATGTTTGTCCAACAAGGAGAGTCATTAATATTGCGGAAGAAAGGGAAGCGGAAGAGGAAAGAGAAAGAGATGCAGTTGAGAATAATGAATATGCAGGAGTTGAGTTTGCAAGGGAAGAATCTGATGAGAGGATAAATTTTGAGTTGCAGAGAATTCTACTAGCATTCAAAGATGAAGGGTATCGCAATAATTTGTTTAAAACACATTATTCTAACAAGAACAAAGTGTGTAATTTAATTGTGGATAGCGGCAACACGAAGAATATGATGTCACAGAAAATGGTAGATTATTTGAAGTGTTCCACAGAACCGCATGAGAAGTCATACACCCTTGGTTGGGTAAGCAAAGACTTCCAAGTTCGAGTAATACTAGCCGACAAAGTTCCTATCTCCATCGAAAAACATTACAGAGAAGAGGTACTTTGTGATGTTCTTGATATGGACGTTTGTCATATTTTACTTGGTAGACCATAGTAGTTTAATAATGATATCACTTATCAAAGACGAGATAGTATGTTGATATTACATGGGACACACATAAAATTGTTATGGCTCCTTTTTGCACGTTGGTAAGAATCAAGGAGAAAAGACGTCTAATTTCTTGGTGATGACACATAGTGAAAAAGATTTAATGAGGCTGTTAATGAAATGAATATTTATGTCAAGTGGTGAGTAAAGGACTGATGAGTGTTATAAAGGAGGAAACAAAAATTCCAGAAGAAGTGTTAGGGATCCTATAATATTTCAAAGAATTAACTGCATATGAGCTACTAAACGATTTGCCTCTATGCCGGATAAACGTCGGAAAGTTAAATCTTTTAATATGAGAGACAGTGTGATGGTGTTTCTGCTTAAGAAGAGGTTTCCGCTTGTTACTTATAGCAAGCTGTATTCAAGCAAGTATGGCTCGTGCACAGTGATCCAAAAGATCAATGATAAGGCTTATGTAGTAGCTCTCTCTGATTTCATGAATATATCTAATACTTAAAAAAAAATATTGCTGACATCATGAATATCAAGTAGATGAGACTCTTTATCAAGAAGAGAACTCGGGATCGAGTTTTTTAGAGGTAGATGTGATTGATGTAGGAAGGCTTTTTAAGCCATCCGAGTTTTGTTTAGACCCAAAAACAACATCTTAATATTTTTCGTAATTTTCTATTTCATTTCTGTTTTGGATTAAAAGTCCAATAGGATTTCTTTTTTCTATTTTATTTTTGTTTTGGATTCAAAGCCCATTAGAGTTTCTTTGTTTCTGTATTTAAACACTTTTGGTGTGTGTCAAAGATCATCTTTTGATACAATAAAATTCAGCATTTTTTATCGGTGGATTCCAGAGTTTATCTCACACATTTGCGCTTACAATCTTGTGTTCTCATTCTAGATTTAGCGCTTATTATTCCCTAATATTTTCGACTGCGTCACAAATCATTGATCATCTTAGCTAAACAAGGAATTAACAAAACTCGATACTCAACAATTGGTCTCTAAAATATAATACTTTTATTTTATTTCTTCAAAATAATCGTGAACTTGCGGTGTATCATTGATTTTATAAGTGTAATCCATATGTAGCACAAACAAAAAAGTGTTAAACAGTTTAATGAATACGGATGGACCCAAAAATATCTCAAAGAGGTTTTGAATCACAAATTATTATACATGTGTAGGCAAATTTATAGTCAACCAAGCATTCAACAGATATTGCATTTATCTTAGACATGCATTATGTTATGAATATGTTTGGTAGCAATCACATTGTCCACATTTCTTTTTTACAAAGTCATAAGACTAATTTTGGAAAGGACTATATTACTAGTCATCTAATAAATAAGTTTCTTCTCTTCCTGCTTTAGACATTTTGCATAAGGATATCCTTCTAATTTTCTACCATCTTATGATTGAATTATCCATTCAACAACTATTATCCATTTATTAATGAAATCATGAAACAAGTATAACTTCTCTATAAACTGTGACAACAAAGATCCAAACCAGCTTATCATGTCCATTCCATTCATGATTTCTCTTTAAAATTTAGTGTCTTCAAAAAAATACACATATATACCCAATACAAAATAGACAAAACCTCTGGTCATCAAATCCTATTGCTTGACACAATCAAATATTGCAGCAATACTTAAACTAGTTTTTGTAATATTGACAATAATTAACAAGTAACAACTCACATAGTATTAGTCACACTAAATAATGCAAACATCTCAGTACAAACTTTTACAACTTCATATTGAGAACTTTACTTAATGGCTGGTACATACTTGGTGTTCCATATGAAGTTGAAGGAGTAAATGGTTTAGGCGTAGATTCCTCGCGAAGAGCGGTTAGAGCCGCCTTCTTTCTCGTCCTATGTTCGCGGTGTCTCCTTATTTTGTCCTCCAATGCTGCTTTACCATTCTCAGCTAACTCAGCTCGGCTGATAGCTTGTTCCGCACGATTCCTCATCTCTGAAATTTTCAGGGATGCATTTTCAAGCTCTCTTTTCATCAATACTAACTCTAACTCGTTTCCTTTTTCACTTCCCTTCGCAACCTCTTTAACGAAGTAGTTGTAGTCTTCCAAACTGATTGTGATACTGTCATTGTCTTTCTTTTTCTCCTTATTCAACTTTTCAGCTTCATCATTTGATTGATCAGTGACATATGATCCATTCTTGTAAGCCAAGGTATATTCTTGAAGATGAGATTTTGATTTCAGCAATGAAATCTCCGCCTGTGTTTCTATGTCTCTTTCTTTATTCATCTTCAACTCATCTATGAGTGATTGATTATTCTTATTCAATTCAATTATCTCTTCCTTAGCACTTGTAACTTGCTGTAAAAGTTTTTCTTTATGTTCTTTTTCCATCTTCAATTCATTTTCCAACTGTTCCACCTTAGCCAAAACGTTCAATTCCGAATCTCTAGCCGAACAAATCTCGTTATCTTTATTAAGAAGTTCTTTTTGTGTGGCCTTCAATTCACTCAAAACATGCGAAAGCTGGTCCCTAATTTTCACAGTTTCTAATTTAAGATCAGCCATCTCTTTCGTCATCGATTCAAGCCCGTCTTTGCTAGCTCTACCCCCTGAACACTCGTTCACATACTTATTTCTTTCAATATCAGAATTCTTAAGCAAAGTAGACAGCTCATGAATCATCTTCTGGTTTTGTTCAGGCTTAAGAAGTGCTTTGATGTGTGCAACATGCTTAGCTTCTAACTGAGCCTTGTAGTTTGCCAATTCCTTTGTCAAATCCTCAATCTCTTTTTCATAGTCACGCTGTCATACAAATAAAACAACAATAGTGCCGAGAAAATCACAAACAATGATGCATAAACACTTAAAAACATAGTAAGTTAATATGATTTGAAACTTTATCACTTGGACACTTATCTTTACCTTATTCCATGTAGGAAGAAATTTCTTCGGATCGGTTTTATCGTCGAATAAAGAGACTCCGCGCCGGACTGGTTCAATTGATGTAGTATCAATCTCACCAACCATGGTTTTGTGAAAGGATGTACTATGTAGTATGTAGTATGTACCAACAGTGTCTCGAGAAATGAATATCTGTTGAAGGAGGTTTGTTTTTGGAGGATGTTTTAACTAGTTTTGTATTGCGGATAACACTATGCTGTGAAACTGTCACGGAGCACAGCTTAGAAGAATCATTCTCATTCGGTTCTTTTTCCTTGGAATTTTCAGTTGAAAGGTTGGTTTTGGCTGTAGCAATAGGAATACAATATTCCTCTCATTGACTTTATATCCATGGAAAGATATTTTTATTTAAATTTTGTTGTCCCTATCCAAATGGATTCATATGTGACTATGATTACAACATTAGATGAAAAAAAAGTGAATCATAGGACATGTACATTGATAGGGGAGAGAGGGAGAATATAAAGAGAGAGAATAGAAAGTAGAGATGAGGAAAGAGTATTTTTATTTATTCAACAAAAATATATATTGGATGGTTATTTTCTAACTATATATAACTGTCAAAGCAGTTAAAACAACCCAATACAACTAATAAAAGTTGTATACACTAATACATGCATCATATCCCGCCCCTTGAAATCTTCCTTGTCCTCAAGGAAAAGCTGTAACATCAAAATAAAGAAACTGTAGCTTGATTTTGTATAGCAACTCTCAAGTAGTCTCTTCCATAGCCTCCCTTTTCCACTGAACCAAAACTCAGTAACTGCTCTATTATGCCTCTGAATTGAGCGCCTCTTCAAAATCTTAAATGGCTCCTTAGGATCATCCAAACTGCCCCACTCTTCAGGAAGTGCAACCACGGGAATGTTCGCATCGGGAGACGGATTCAAGAGTGATACATGGAACGTAGGATGAATCCGCGAACTAGCTGGTAGAATCAAGGTGTATGCAACTTTTCCCACTCTATGTAGCACCTTATAAGGACCATAAAATCGAGGAGAAAGCTTTTCGGAAGCACGATATTGAGCAGAAGCTTGTCTATAGGGCTGTAACTTTAGGAAAACCCAATCTCCTTCCTTGAATTCCCGATCACTGTGATGTTTATCAGCCTGCCGCTTCATACACGCTTGAGCCCGAACCAAGTTACCTTGTAATTTCTGGATCATTTCCTCCCTTACAATGAAGCTTCGATCTACCGCCTCCACCTTGGTACTTTGAGGGCAATAAGGAAGATGTAGAGGGGGTGCTTGACCATACACAATCTCATAAGGGGTAGCTTGAATAGCAGAATGAGAAGTGGTATTGTACCACCACTCAGCCAAAGGCAACCAATTGACCCATTCCTTAGGCCGCTGCCATGTCATCGCCCTCAAGTAATGTTCTAAGCAACAATTCAAGACTTCACTTTGACCATCCGATTGAGGGTGGTAGGCTGTTGTTAAGCTCTGAGAAATGCCCAATTGACCAAGGAAGGAACCCTAAAATTTACTTGTAAACGAGGGATATCGGTCACTCACAATGTTGGCAGGTGCACCATGTAATTTGTAAATTTCAGAAATGAAAACTTCAGCCAATTTTGATGTCGTAAAAGGGTAAGCAAGAGGAATAAAATGGGCATATTTTCTCAGCCGATCAATAACTACCCAAATCGTGTCTTTACCATGGGATTTAGGAAGCTTTTCAATGAAGTCCATGGCTATACTTTGCCATACTCCTTCTGGAACTAGCAGAGGCTGAAGTAAACCAGCAATAACTCTAGGTTCATACTTGCATCTAAGGCAAGTCTCATATTGTTGAATGAACTTTGTGACATCTTTGGCAAGGCCCTTCCAATAAAATATGCTCTTGATCCTTGCTATAGAAGCCCTGATGCCTGAATGGCCTCCTTGATGTGAAGAATGAAGCCATTGTAGAATCACCAATCGCACTTGCCCATCATTAGGAATGACCAGCTTCTGTTTCCTATACAGTAAATTGTCCAAAATAGAGAAATAGGGATGCAAGGTTGGGTTAGCGAGAACCTGCAACTTGAGGTCATGCAAAGCTGAATCTTGTTCGTAGCTTTTAAGGAGAGAGTCCCATAACTCAGAAGAAATAGAAGAGATGGTCAATTGTAAAACTTCACCGTGCGAGGCTCTCGACAAGGCATCTGCAGCCACATTATCCTTACCCTTCTTATACAAAATTTCATAAGAAAGGCCCATGAGCTTAGTGACCCATCTATTTTGGGCTGGAGTCGATAGGCGTTGCTCCAATAGGTACTTCAAACTATGTTGGTCAGTAAGAATTGTAAATGTGTTCAAAGAAAGATATTGGTGCCATTTAGAGACTGCATGAACCAATGCTAATAATTCCCTATCATAAATTGACAACAGCCTGTTTTTAGGAGACAAAACCTTGCTAATAAAATCCACAGGGTGCCTATCCTACATTAGCACAACCCTAATTCCAGTGCCCGAAGCATCTGTTTCAACGACAAATGGCTTTTGCATATTAGGGATGGCCAACACCGGAGAATTACTCAAAGCATCTTTCAATGTATTGAAGGCGGCGTGCGTCTCTTGTGTCCAATGGAAAGAATCTCGCTTGAGTAAATCAGTAAGAGGAGAAGAAATGATGCTGTAACCTTTAATGAACCTCCTTTAGTAACCCGTTAATCCTAAAAATCCCCCAATTGCTTAACAGTTTGAGGCACTGGCCAATCTGTCACAGCTTGAACTTTAATTGGGTCAATAGTAACTCCCGTAGGTGTAATGAAATGACCCAAGTATTCGATCAGTATCGTGAAAAATGCATATTTAGTTCTCTTAACATAGAAGGTGTGAGCTTTAAGGATTTGAAACACTTGTCGCAGATGATCCACGTGTGCCTCCAAAGATGGGTTATACACTAGTATGTCATCAAAGAAAATAAGAACACATTTTCTCAATAAACCAGAAAAAATAGTGTTCATTGTTCCTTGAAAAGTAGCTGGTGCGTTGGTGTTGGCTGAAGATTTTGATGATATTATTCGAAGCAAAGCAAATTGGACGTTTCGATTGGAATAAAGCAAGATGTCATGTTTCGAAATGGTAGAAGCAGTGCTTCGAATGGGCATATCAAAGCTTGGAGCTTCGAGTGACAGTTATGAGAATATATTCAAAGAAGTCTCGAAATGATAACAAGGCTATGTCCAAGAAATGCGTTCGAAGCAAAGAAGTGCCAAAACATTTGAAATTCAAATGCAAGCGGGATGTTCGAAATTTAAAATATATGCGCTGGAGCATTCGAAGACGCGTGGAAGCTAGAGAGAGGCATTGCTTTGCATGTTCTGAACGTGGAAAAATCTTATAGCAAGACCGTTATGGTCGAAGTAGTATAAATAGAAGTCTTAGCATTAGGATTTCATGTGTCATATCTATTGTACAAAAAACCCAGTAAACATTCAAAATACCACATGGCTAGGGAAACGAATGCACGAGCAATGTACGTATGATAACACCAAGTGTTTATGATTTAATGAAACTCTTTATCATTTCCAGTATTTTCCTCTATCTTCATGTCAATACCATTCAAAAGCCTTTGCATTAAAATATTTTCATTCGAAGTCTTTTTACTGATGCCTTACATTTAAATGTTTTCTTTCCATTTCAAATACTTTACATTTCTGAAACTTTTGTACATTTCATGCCTTTATCTTCAAGCTTTTATCATTCCAACACATTTTTTCACTTAAAGTCATTTTACTGTTTTCTTGCATTTAAACGCTTTCTTCATATTTCGAATCTTTTACATTCCAGAGAATCTTTTACATTACATGTTTTTATGCTTCAAAGTCATTTACTTGTCTTTTCTGCAGTTTTACATGTCTTTACAATTGAACTTTATTCATGCAATTTAGTTTCGCGCACATTTACTTGATCACGCCTTTAGATCTTTAATAGAGTAATCGAAGTAAGTTAAACACCTACACAACATTGTAAATACCAACCATGAATACCAGTTCTATAATGAGAGTTATCCAAATGACCAATACATCCTAGGATCAATCTAGTCGATCCTGCGAGTTACCAGAGAGATTGAATAACAGTCATTAAGATTATTCGATAGTTTGGAGGACTAGCGGTTGTTTACCAGAAATCACTGTAAACAAATTGGCACACCTGGTGGGACCCGTCATTGGCCATTACGGAATTTAGAACAGAGTAAAAAATTGTTGAGACGTAACCATTATAAAAATACTCTCTGAGTGATAAGTTTGTTGTTTTATGAACCTTAGAAGTGGTAGAATAACCAATAGCAACCAACCCTTAACTAGAAGAAAACGTTTGAACAAGATGTCTAATTATGACAACCAACAAGGGGAACAAAATGCCCCACATACAACAGGCACTAATATGTCTGCTTCGATGGGAACATCTAATGTGATCCCTTCGAATGCACAGTCTGTTGCATCCTCTACCAGTAATATAGCCACTAATGGAATAAGTGGCATATCAACTAATAGTTCGATCCTAGGAAATACTGGAACCATTGGTTATCCTGGGGGATTCGTCCCACCATCAGGGACACAAACCCATTTCGCCACCCCACTAACTAGACCACCCGGTTTCGATGGCAATAGAACCAGAAATTCCTCTTATGGAATGCCAACATCTTTTATGGCAGGCTTACACAATTCCACATCGAATTCATCACCACAATTAGGGTCTGGGTCTGGGGCAAATTAGTTTATGACAAATAACCAAGGGTCAGTGGGTTATAGTGCAATGCCTATTTTAACCACAGAAAACCAGTTGGCTTTTAGGCAATTAATGGATGACAGTAACCATAATATGATAGTAGTATTAGCACAAACTATGCAGGAGATATTTGCCCCAATAGTATAAAATGTGACTGTGACAAACAGAGAAAACGCAGATAATATGAGTCGAATAGCAGATTTTTTCGCTCCCCTAGAGAGGCGTAGGCAGAATCAGGCGGGAGTTCGAGCGAACGTACCTATTATAGAACAAGTTGCTAACGACTCACCCTATAGACCAGCCAGAGAGGAGGTTAATTTGGGGGCAAGGGCACAAAGGCTAGAA